AGTAGTTAGGTTTGGCCATGACAGTAGGGTACATGCAAAGAGAAACATATTTTGACACGTTGCTTTATACATGAGCTTGGGAACCCAGCTATGACTGGAATAAAAGTCTACCAATTATTAAAAACCCAGCTACGAACATTCACATAGCTCTATCGTGTTCCTCGTTCAAAATTTGATGCAAATCGGTCAATGGGATTTAAGAGTTATGATCGCTAATACAAACAAACAAATAGACAACCCCCCAAACCGAGATTACTAGATTATGTATATTGATTATATAATGAAATTTTCGTGACTCATAAATGTTTAATTTTTCAAACTAAAATCTTGATTTCATGAAATCTACGTGTTAATGTTCCAATTACTGAAAAATTCCTGCTAAATCTTATTTTTCAAATCTCTAAAGAAGTGTTTTCAATTTATATGCATAATGCAAATTGCATATGATTGTTTTAAAGTTTTCATACGCTTGAAAACCATTGCGGGTTTAATTTTTACAAAATGTAAATCTGTTTCTAGATGTTAATGTTGATTACTTGGGTTACTCACTAACATCGTGCAGACTCTTAAAATAGGATACGATGTTGGAAAAATCCTTCAAAGTTTTTAAAATATATTTAAAAATTGTGATTGTTAAATACCACCGATTATGAAATTTGAAACTTATTTATTTTACAAGAAATGTGGCCTAATCCTTCCAGAAATACATGTATTATGACAATACAAAGGGATTGTAAGCGTAACTTCAAGTGACCCTCCATACAAAGATGGCAATGCCCGGTTCAAAACTGTACACTTGAAACCTTATAATCTTATCAGTAATGTGGAGTATTTTTGTTTTTTTAGGTAAAAAAGTGTTCAATTCTGATAATTTCTATTTGTTTTCTTGCTGTGAAAATGCGTAAGTCACTTTTGTAGAGAAGCTACAATAGAAAATAACTATTTTTCAAAATTGAAAACATGGATATCTTATTCATCCTTGGTCAGACAAAGCTTTTAAGGATACAACGTGAATAGGGATTTGCCATCTTTGCATGAAGGGTCACTTGAAATTACGCTTATAATCCCTTTTTAAGTACGAAGACGACTATTATTTTTTATTTTCTTTTTATTTACAAATGTAATTATATGATTATCTACACTTTTATTTACATGTAATTATATGATTATTATATATCTTTATATATCTTTATATATCATTATATATCTTTATTTATCTTTAAATATCTTTATATACCTTTATATATCTTTATATATGAAGATATATCTTTATATATCTTTATATATCATACAATTATGTAGTTTTTTCATTTTTGTTTAAAGTATACTTTACTTTTCATTTTATGCTGTAATATCTTTATTCTCCTGTATTCCATATACTGTAATCTCTTTGTATTCCTTCTATATATTGTAATCTCTTTGTATTCCTTCTATATAGTGTAATCTCTTTGTATTCCTTCTATATACTTTAATCTCTTTGTATTCCTTTTGTAAACTGTAATCTCTTTGTATTCCTTCTATATACTGTAATCTTTTTGCATTCATTCTGTATACTGTAATCTCTATGTATTCCTTCTACACACTGTAATCTCTTTGTAACCCTTCTATACACTGTAATCTCTTTGTATTCCTTCTATATACTGTAATCTCTTAGTATTCCTTCTATATACTGTAATCTCTTAGTATTCCTTCTGTATACTGTAATTTCTTTGTATTCCTTCCATACACTGTAATATCTTTGTATTCCTTCTATATACTGTAATCTCTTTGTAACCCTTCTATACACTGTAATCTCTTAATATTCCTTCTATATACTGTAATCTCTTTGTATTGCTATTATACACTGCAATCTCTTTGTATTCCTTCTGTCTGTACACTATTATTTACTCCGAATCCGTGTTGTTGTAAAAATTCAGTTTTTAATCTTTATCCATTCAACCTTTCTTTAGATTAGGGTTCAATACTTTTATGATATTAAGATTGTGAATTCATTACAGCATTTTTGTTGGCAAGTAGTTCACAACTAAACAGGTCATAATTGAGTCATAATTGCCCTTTAATATTTTGTTAGCTTATGCATTTAGTTTTGTGCTAGTTCTTTATTTTCCCTTTCTGTATTAAACTTCTTTTTCTTCAAAAATTAAGAAAAATTTAACCAATGCATTTCGTTTCAATCTATGCGTTCTAACTGTTTGAATATCTTTTTAGGTCATGTTATGGTCTGTTTAGTTATGTTTTATATTAAGTTTATGTCGATTTGTTTTAACTTATGTACGTACTGTTTCACATAATCTCATACTGCTATGACACGTTGCATCAATGTTTAAGACTGGGTCGACTTTAAGGCGTCGAATGCCTTGTCCTTTGTTTTTATCCTCACTAACCACGTGGATTTAACGGTTCTGTCAAAATTCCAGAAAGCTGTGACTTTCGATCAAAATTTGACCCATTAAAGATAATTTGTTAGCCTTTTCCCTTTTATACTTTTTTGTCGGCATATGCATTTTGAATGAAAATGTATAGCATAAATCCGTAAAGTAAATAATTGTTGAATTATAGACCAAAACACGTTTTATTTCAAGTAGAAGAAACCGAATGCTGCTCACTCTGGTTAGTCCGGGGTGTAACTCAATAATACTTTTTTCCCGCTCCAAGCATATTTTGACTATAGAGCAGATGCCTATAGCTTTAGTTTTGAAGAAACGTGGCAAAGTTCTCAAAACTTTTCGTTAGAGCTTGCAACGTTTGGATCACTGTGGTTAGAGCTTGCAACGTTTGGATCACTGTGGTTAGAGTTTGCAACGTTTGGATCACTGTGGTTAGAGCTTGCAACGTTTGGATCACTGTGGTTAAGTTTGCAACGTTTGGATCACTGTGGTTAAGTTTGATACATTTTCTATCTTTTTCCTTCAGATAGATATAACATATACATGATTTCTACCTTATATTTTTCCTTCAGATAGATATAATATATACATGCTTTCTACCTTATATTTTTCCTTCAGATAGATATAATTGTGAGCTGAACAAAAGGAAAAGTTACTCGAAGCGGGATGTACTTAGGCAAAGGACAAGTAATTCGAAGAATGACAAATCCAAAGGCGATTAGATTAGGGAAACACTCTCTTCTACCAGACACACATAGATGAGAACTTCTTGAAAATGTTTATTCAGTAACGAAGTTTCCTACAAAATACAAATTGTTATTGGCGTACATGCATGTAAATAATAATTGTTAATAAATGGGTATTNATTGTGTTTAAATAGGTTCTTTTTAATGCACTTTAAGTTTTACTAGATCCATGAGGTTATTTATGTAAAATCCTTGGCAAGGTTTGGTTTGGCGGATGGCCGGAGTACGGAGTATTCAACGGAGATACAATCTGTCGGAGACGACCTTTGAAACAGGGTTACATTAGGGATATGGTTCACAATAATATATACATACTTTCTACCTTATATTTTTCCTTCAGATAGATATAACATAGACATGATTTCTACCTTTTATTTTTCCTTCAGCTAGATATAACACATACATGATTTCTACCTTATATGTTTCCTTTTCTTCAGATAGATATAACATATCACGATTTCTACCTTATATTTTTCCTTTTCTTCAGCTAGATATAATATATACATGATTTCTACCTTATATTTTTCCTTTTCAGCTAGATATAATATATACATGATTTCTACCTTATATTTTTCCTTTTCAGCTAGATATAACATATACATGCTTTCTACCTTATATTTTTCCTTTTCAGCTAGATATAACATATACATGATTTCTACCTTATATTTTTCCTTTTCAGCTAGATATAATATATACATGATTTCTACCTTATATTTTTCCTTTTAAGGTTTGCTCTGTTCTGTTATTTTCTGCTCTGCTCTGTTCTGTATACTGTTAAGTACTGTTCTATTCTGTTTTATTCTGTTCTATTCTTTTCTATTCTGTTCTGTTCTGTTCTATCATGTTCTATTCTGTTATCTCATGTTTTATTCTGTTATATCATTTTCTATTCTGTTCTATTCTGTTCTATTCTGTTCTATTCTGTTCTATTCTGTTCTATTCTGTTCTATTCTGTTCTATTCTGTTCTATTCTGTCTTGTTCTGATTAATAGAAGTTAAAAGTTAAAGCATCGTGTGTTAAGAATATCCTGCAGAATTATGTTGTCTCAAAAACTAGGAAAGAATTATAAATGATGACAAAAAGCTGCTTTTTATATATAAATTACACCCATGCTGTACAATTTACACATTTTTTTGGAAACATGTTTTCAAAGAAAATGAATGAAACACATTGGAGTTGAGTTTTTGCCACAAACTCTGATTTTCTAATCTCTGTATCTTTGTAACCCAACGTCGTAGATCTTAGATATTTGAAACTATTAATACTTATAGATAAAATAATCTAAGTTTGAAATATTAAAGGTTTTCACTATCAGGTTGCAAAGATATTGGGATCAGACGATTTGAGTTTGTGGCAAAAACTTAATTCCTTTCTCTCCCTTAAAGCATAAGCCTTTAATGACGACCTACCAGCTACTCTCATTCTCTAATTGGTCAAAACTTTGCGGAACTCAGCCAATGAAAAATCAGTGAATGAACAAGAATTCATTTAAAGATTCTAAGCTTAGTTCTGATGGTTTTATAAGCAATATTTTAAAATTTTTTACTGGACATTTTTATTTGGGCAGGTTTTTTAAGACAATATTCATTAGGTGGAGGAGGAGAGGGGTCTGCATCAGGTGGGGGTAGGACTGCATCAAGTAAAAAGGGGGAGGGGTCTCCATCATTGCAAAGAGGAGGTGGGAGGGCGACAAAGAAAGAAAAGCATCTTCATTTTTAGGATGGTGGGATCTGTGTTTGAGAATAGGGTGGCCGACGAAGTTGTTGTTCTATAAGGACGAGATTAACATTCCATGGAATCCAGGGTCCGAGTTTTAAGAAAGGAAAGAATTTCTAGAATCGTGCATTGTATAATGCAAGGAACAAGATGTGCCAGGGCCCGAAAAGTTTAACTGTAAAGTATAGTCTACTGTTTCAACTTTCCAGCTTTAGTTTAGAGTTCAGGTCGGCGCGCTACAGTCCAGTATTCAGCTCAGGTCAGCGGGCTATAGAGGGGTCAGTTTATACTCAAACAAATACAAGGATGCCACATTTCTACCGATACAGGAAAACACAATTTTAAACGAATTGTCCACAAAAATATGTATTACTAAAAGTTTCAACATTCCGTGAAGTGGAAGTGTATAAGACAAGACAATACTATTTTTAAAAGTTTATTTTTAATATAAGTTTTATCTAAGAAATGATATTCTGGAACTCGTCTGATCCTTTCTTGTGCGACTGTGTTGGAGAAAATCCCGGCTCGCTTGTTGGCCATATTCAGACGAAGATTTCTTCTTTAATAATTTTAAAATCTTTTTAAATACAGAATTAAAGTACGTTTTCTTCAGGGACCGAATTTAATTAATTTGAGTGGTTGCTGAACTTTTTATTCGAATCACCGATTCACTCTCTAATTAATTACCTTAATCCTCAACAATCTTCACCTTTGAATTGGTGATTCAGGATTTGAATTGGCGTTGGGTTGTTCAACGACTTCTCACAATTTGTTAAATCCGGTACAAGGTCTTCAATAACTTGTTAAAAAACTATCATTAGAAAAAAAATTTTAAAGTTTAATTGATCATGAACAAGACATAATTTCAAACATTGTTGTCTACTGAAGAGGAGAGGATGAGGACTTAAAACCCTCTTCTCGAACCCCAGCTCCAGGTAGTGATATTAGCTCTAAAGGATCAAGTACGGAGGAGGGGCATATCAGGTGTCTAGGGATAGGAGCTGATATCTGTATACCAACTGGAGATGATAAAAACAAGGGAAAACCATTCTCAAAAAAACTTTTAAAAAAATCAAATTAAGAAAAATTATATTGAAGTTTATAGTTTTTTTTTTATAAATGCCTTTTAATTGTTTGCATTTTTTAAAGCTTTTGTTTTTGTTTTTACAATAATTTGTTGATCACAAAACTATGTTTAATTTAGTTTGGCACTATATCACCCTTAAAAATATTATTAGAAAACATGCAATAATAAATATACGCTGAAAGGTAAATTTTAAATTGTAAATCTAAGTTTTCCACAAGAACTAAACATGTTTTGAGAATGGTTGTTTCAGGTGAACCTGAATATATTATTCTACGAACTGGATAAAACCTTGCAGAGTTTAAAGGATGAAAACAAGCAGCTCCGAGCCGAGATGGAATATCTCAAGGAGCTTGTAAAGGGTGGATCCATCCCTAAATCCGCCCCAGCTGCTCCGGTTCAGGTTCAAACCGTCTCTTCCCCCCAGGACGGGCTGGAGGAACGACTTACAAGCAAAATTGTCAACCTGGAGTCAAGTTTTGACAAGTTTAAAGATGAAATGAATACAAAAGAAAATGAATCTAAAACTAGAATTGACAGTTTAACTTCAAGTTTAGAAAGTTTGGTAACTAGACAATCTGAACACGAGGACAGATTTGAGAAAGCTTTCTCCAATCTATCAACTGCTCCTGCTCCAGCACCTGCTGCTCAATCCGAACCTGAAAGCAGCTCCTGTGATATTTCGGCTGCTCCCGTTGATATTTCTGAGCAGCTTGACACAATTAAGGTAAGATTTATTTTTTACGTTTTCAAATGATGCAAGAACCAGAGGAATTTGTCTAAAACTTAAAATCTAGACAGGGTTCATGGTGGTATAATGAGAGGAGGAGGAGGGGGGTGCTAATTTTTATCTTTTTAATGTTATTCTTATGTATTCATTTAGATTTAACTAGATCAATTGCCCAACGTACCCCGTGGAATTTTAAAGCACTTTGAGAAAAAATCGAGTTTTGAAAACAAAAATACGACTTTAAAAAAAAGTTTAGAATTTAATTAAGCCAATGTTTCCCCCAGGGTACCCATGGGTTTTCCTAAAAAAAATTCAGCCAGTTTGATTCAGTCGTTTGGCCAGCTATAGCTTACATATATATATACATGAGCAAGATTTTTATTATATAGATTTTTAAAAATATCAGATTGAAGTCTAAAAACTATATATATAAAAAGTAGAAATGATAATTACTAATAAAGTTTTCAAATATGTTAAAGGATCTTTATACATGAGTAGAGTGTCCAGAGAAAGTAACATCAAAATAGTTTCCTTGATGATAAAAATCCTTGATAATAAATCGGGAAAAAACATTTTTTTGACGATATGTCAAAATCAGTAGAATCCTTATTTTAATTAGTTTTAATATTTATGTGAACATTTTCTGTGTTAAACCAACCAATCAGTGTTGACTTGTATTCCTGGTTCATGAGAATATATTAATTAATTAATGTCAATATCAGAATGAAATTTAGATTTAAAGTTAAAATGTTACAGACTGTACTTTAATATTTTACAGAATATATTCTGACTCTGAGTAAATTAATTTGTGTGTTTTCTCTAGTTTTCCTTTTTTCTTATAATGTTTTGTTTTATATTTTTCTCATTTTGATTATTTTTTTAATTTTTTGATTCTTAAAACTTAATTTAATTTTTTTAAAAATAATACAATGGAAGATTTGATAATTAAAAGATTTTTATATTTTACCAGATTATTGAGATTAATTAATTTACCAGATTATATTGAGATTAATTAATTTTCCAGATTATATTGAGATTAATTAATTTTCCAGATTATATTGAGATTAATTAATTTTCCAGATTATATTGAGATTAATTAATTTTCCAGATTATATTGAGATTAATTAATTTTCTGCAAATTTAACAAATGTAAAAGCAATTATAAATGAAAATTGGGTTTTGTATACAGATTTTTTATTTAAATCTTTTTTTATGATTTTAATAAAAATTATTAGTTTTATGCAAGGTTACCGAATATTTGCCACAAGCTCTAATATCAAAATTCTATATCTATGCAACCTTTGCGGGGAGTATCGTTAATCTTAAACGCCTGATCTTGAAATCCCGTATGGACACTTATGAATTTAAGGACAAATGCTTTTTCCCTCAATTTAAGTTAACCCTGCAGGCTGCAAGGTATGACCAGCACATGATAAAGAAGAGGAATTATATTAATCCGCTGGTTTGCATGAGATGGAGATCAATGCAAAACTAAAGTTCTGATGGTCTTAACATTTAATATTTCAAACTTTGATCCCGCAAAATAAAAAAACAACGATTTGAAAAATAAAAAGATTGGAAAAATGAGATTTTGAGGCAATTAATCAATTTTTATCAGTCTTTTAGGACCATAAATTAGTATACTTTAGGATAATAATAAGGATATAGGACCATACATTAGTATATTTGAGGATAATAATAAGGAAATAGGACCATAAATTAGTATATTTGAGGAGAATAATAAGTAAATAGGACCATAAATTAGTATATTAGCATATTTGAGGATAATAATAAGGAAATAGGACCATAAAATAGTATATTTGAGGATAATAATAAGGAAAAAGGACCGTAAATTAGTTTATCAGTAATTAGTATGCATTGCTTTACAGACTTGACATCTTGGATAAATCCTTTTAACGACCTTGTCAAATCCATCTATTCAACGTTTATTTCTTCTGAATAATGTTTTCCAGTTTTAAGATAAAATATAACTTTAATGTTTATACACATGTAGGACAAGAGAAGAAGCATTAGATGTAAACTGCTTTTAAACATAATGTACACTCTTTTTTTCACCCATGAACAATTATCTACAAGTTACAGATATAAATTATAAAATGTTTTCTGTGATCTTGTCAGACTGCATTTGTTGCATAAAACGTGCTGGGTCGCCTCTACGCTTGACAATACAAATAAATGCATGTACAGTACGTGTTGTACCGGCACGGATCATGTTACGATTAGACTGGGGTGACGTATATATTTACTGTAGTGTAAAGAGATTGACTTTCAAATTATCTAATATGGTAATATTATATAAAATGAATGAGATATTCCAATTTTTCTAACTCACTTAATGTCCCTTTAATGTTCAGGAGAGTTTAACCGGGCAGGTAGCTGCTTGTCGTGCTCTGGTTGCATCACCTCTATCGGTCATCTTTGATGCTGTTAGATCAGAAGACTGGATTGGACAGGATAATTTCCTTCCTTTTACAAAGGTAATTTTAGTTTATGAATTCTTTCAAAACAGCCCCCCTACCCACCCACCCCTCCATTTTTGGGAAATTAATCAAGGATAAAGGATTAAAATAAAGTTCCGTTTTTCACACTTTTCTCTAAAGCTTTAAAGTTATTCCATTTAAATTGTTGATAATTGAGTGATAAGTATTGAAATTTACAACAATGAATATGTGAATACGACCAAAACCACACAGAGGTGAACATTATTTCTCAAACACAAGTTAAAATTAACATAAAATGAACTCTGCAAATGAATATCATAAATGTTTAATGTTTAGTTGAACGTGAATATCGGAGGTGGGATGGATATCCAAAATATTTATGTTTAGTTGAACGTGAATATTGGAGGTGGAATGGATATCTAAAATATTTATGTTTAGTTGAACGTGAATATTGGAGGTGGAATGAATATCTGAAATATTTATGTTTAGTTGAACGTGAATATTGGAGGTGGGATGGATATCTGAAATGTTTATGTTTAGTTGAACGTGAATATCGGAGGTGGGATGGAGATAAACTCCGGAAAGTTTACAGCTCCAGTCTCAGGATTATACTTCTTCAGTCTTAATGTTTACGGAGCACCGAGGGACGGAGTCGTCTTATCAATCAAGTAGGGTACTCTTAGTTATGGGACCGTTCACAAAACTTTATAGTTTTTTTCTCAAGAGTTTTATTTCCACTAAATCGGACAGATAACTGTTGACAGCAACGTTTAGTTAAGTTTAGACGGAGACTATATATTATGCGCTTTAAATAAGTCACTTTTTACAAATAATTTAAAAGGAAGACTTAAAAAAACACCCAGATTTCTATAGATATCCAACCCAGGAGGGCTTGGATAGCTCTAGAAGTAAATGAGAACTGTCTCTGTATTGCGGTTGTTAAAACCATAATTTTACTACAGTAAAATACAATGATTTGCTTAATTTTTATTTATTTGAAATTTGCATGATTTAAAGTATTATTTCATCGATTTCGTCTTGGAGTTACAGATTTTGAATCCGTGTTTTTCATCTTACTGAGAAGTCCTAAGCTCTAAGAACTGCTGTTGGAATTTGAAAACTTTTTTCTTAATCCAGACTTAGAGAGTTACTTCTCGAATTTTTAAAATCTGTTAGATTTAATTTCACATTCCTCAGCAGAGGTGGATGGGGATAAAAAGAGGAAAACAGTTTAATATGTGCTAAAAGTAAATGACAACCAAAGAAAAAAAGAATTGACATAAAATAATTCTCAAAGGAATTGAGTGTTTGCCACAAATCCCAAATTTCTAATACCTATATTTTTACAACCAAATGATGTAAACCTTTGATATTTCAAACTTATATGGTTTGATATAACAGAAGCCATAGTTTGATATATCTAAGGTCTATATCATTGGGATGTTAAGAGATATTGGATTCAAAATTTAAAGTTTGTGGGAAAAACTCAATTCCTTTGAGGGGAAAAAGAAAAACATATTCATATGTACGTGCTGGTGGAATTTGAAAACTTTTTTCTTAATCCAGACTTAGAGAGTTACTTCTCGAATTTTTAAAATCTGTTAGATTTAATTTCACATTCCTCAGCAGAGGTGGATGGGGATAAAAATAGGAAAACAGTTTGATATGTGCTAACAGTAAATGACAACCAAAGAAAAAAAGAATTGATATAAAATAATTCTCAAATTTGAGGGAAAAAAGTAAAAACATATTCATATGTACGTCTGAAGTACAATAAAGTTGCAAGAAAAACAAACAAAAAAGTTATCGTTTTAAAATATTTGAACGACAAAGGATTTATTTACAGCAGAGCTTGTATTTTACTTATATCTAGATAACATTTAGTTGGTATTTACAAGATTGTATTAAATTCAGAGGATTTTCATATAATAAAAGCCGCAGGTTATTCCATTTTTGGGTCACCCTGTAAATTAAAGATCATGACAGAGGCCGTTCCTTTCATAAACTACATTGGTCGACAACTTGACGTCTCCTATATTGGTCGTCAAGTGTACGGAGGAATTAAGTGCAGTCGGGCAAAGCTAAAATATATATAGATACGAGAAAGTAGTATAATTTTGAGGTTTTGGGATGAATTGAAAGCAGCCATCTCTGTTATACGCATGGCATTAAATCCTCTGGATTGTTGCTCATCACTTTATTTTTGCGTGATAACACTAAATGAGTGTAGTACTATAGTATCAACAATGTATATGAAACAAGATAATCAATGCAAATAAAACAAAGGTAGGAATTTGACTAGACAACGGAAAAATGTGAAAGTTGTACATAAAAAATGTAGTATTTTTAGATACATCTCTGTTTGTCTACTATATAACAACTGATCACAGCATAAACAATACGCGTACTGTACGTTTGAGTTACTTAGAAATTTAATTTTTTGGTCAAACAGACCCAGATAGCAACACTTGATCTTTAGTTTTACAGGATGCAATACGCGCACTGTATGTTTCTATAACACAAATGCATATTTCCTACAGATGGCAGCAGGGGGAGAAAGGAAAATAGAGAGTAATCAATTTGCTATAGATCTCTTGTTTCAATTGTTCTCATACAAATATGAGTTGTCTGCTACAAACAATCTAGGGAGGAGGTTTCTACCTGCCAGTGTATCTATCTCATATATTATCTTTGCAATAGGGTCACATGTGGGGAGGGGACATGCTTTCTTTTTTTAAAAACTAAACTTAACAAAAGTTAGAGAGCATTCAAGTCTAGAACTGCTTGTCAATCAAACGGGGGGGGGGGGGGGGCTAAAAAAACTTTCTTTCTGCTCGAATTAAAGCACAATTAGGATCAATTAGAAATGTGAAAGAGGTTTTCTGAAAAAGGGTATACTTGAATTTTGAACAGGATGAGGATCAAAAATATTAAACCAGATATAGTCAAAATCTTAATCTGAATTAACTAGAAAACGTTGGCTCGTCATATTTCTAAACTAATATTAACTGCAACCCTCAAACAGGGGAATACGCGAATGTCGTCTTAGTTCTTAGTCCCAATATGTCCTTGCATCTGCATCGCACATTTATACATCATTTGGTAGATGTCAAATAGAATAACAACCAGTTAAACCCTAAATAAGTCATACATCGAAAGAATTTATCAAATGTCGTCTTGATAATTTTTCAGTGAGTTTAATACTATTTTACGTAAATCTCAGTATTTGCGAAAATAAATAAATAACCCTGAATATGCGGGAACAGTTATAAAGAGTTCCATATAATCATTTAATTAAAAAACTAAATATCTGCAACATTCCATTATCAGAAAGTAACAATTTGATGAATTCTTTCGATGTATGGCTTATTGCATGGGTTGAACTGTAGTTAAAATGAAATATTGTAGAAATTATGTATTACAAGATAATTGTCAAATGGGACACAGTCCCACTCGTCCCACCCCTTCTTTTAGTGTTAAGGACATTAAATAAAATTGCCATTGCCAGATTTTACACGATTTTTCTTATTTTAGAGCTAACGAGTTCATGGAGATTGCTAGTTGTAGTGGTGTTGGAAAAGCAAGCCAGACTTGTGTTGTCGAGTTAGATGAAAAGGTAAGTTTTATTATTTACAAAAAGGCCCAACAAGCTGTGGAACAGGAAGATAACATTTTGTACAGTGATGATCAGAAAACTCTGGAATAGGAAGATAACATTTTGTACAGTGGTGATCAGAAAACTCTGGAATAGGAAGATAACATTTTGTACAGTGATGATCAGAAAACTCTGGAATAGGAAGATAACATTTTGTACAGTGGTGATCAGAAAACTCTGGTATAGGAAGATAACATTTTGTACAGTGATGATCAGAAAACTCTGGAATATGAAGATGACTTTTTAACAATACTGAAGTGTATTTGATGTTGTTACAAAGAAAATAGTTTTACTAGAAACTTATCAAATCACTAACTAAGTGATATTTGTGTGTTAACGCTGTACAATTACTATTTCCCAGGCTCATTAGACTTTTTAAAGTTAAAACTAGATACTAAAAGTCGTCTTCCTATTCCGGAGTTTTCTGGTTATCACTGAAGCTTTGACGTGTTTATAGGTGAACTGGGTCTGTATGCACTACTGGGTTTCAGGTTCAGCTGAGCTTTTTAAACTCTATAACTTGGTTCTGAGCAAGGCAGTTGCAAAGAGAATATTATATTAAATAGAGGGAAGATAAGTCGAAAAAGTGTGAAGCCGCCATTTTGTGTGTAATGTGCTACATGAGCTGACCGAAGAAATAGTTGGGTTTAGTGGAGAGTGAGTTTTATGCCAATTCTAGTTTGTCTAGTTATCCAGCTGTCTATATCTTTAGTTGTCTAGTTGTCTAGTTGTTTGGTAACTAGTTGTCTGGTTGTCTGATCGTTAAGATGTTTGGTTGTCTAGTTGTGTAGCTGTGTATTTTTATTAATTTTTATCTACTGGAAATATTCAAAAAAATTAATATCTGCTCAGTTACTATAAATAATGATAAATATACATCTTTAGAGAAGATACCATTAAATTCGAATCTTAATTTGGAAATATTTTAATAAATACAATTAGACACTTAAAACTTTGGAATAGTAAGAAGTTTTATCAGTAGGAGTAGCGTGAAAATCAACTTTAAAATGCGCAATTAAATTTACCATCGAAGAGGAGTTGCAAATGAAAATAAACAGTTTAAAGAAACATAAACATGAATATCTTATTCATTCTTGACAAGGCAAGGCTTTGAAGGGTACCGTTTAAATCGGGTATTTCAATCTTTGCATGGAGAGTCCCTTGTAATTAAGCTTTCATGTCCCTTAAAGTGTAATTGGTTTGTTTATGTACACTTTACAACTGCTGTTTTAACGTTTATTGGGCTACTTAAATCGGCAGTTATCTAACTATTTCAAAAAAACATTTTTTAGGATACTGTCGGCGTCTATGTGAATGAGAAATCTAAGCTAACGGATACAATGAATAACAGGTAAAAAAATAATTATAAACAGTTTAACGCAAAAAAGTTTAATCACTAGATTATTATGTTCTATTTTCAGATTCACGCATTTCATTGGATTTTTGCTGAGACCTAAAGAATTAATGTACATGTAAAATCTATGTAATTGTACACATTTTTTTATATTTACTTCAAAATGAACTTTTGCTAGAACTTTAATGAAACTTTAAATTACTTTTGATAAACATTATTTTTTCAATCGTTTAATAACTTAAAACCATGCTATTGTTTTCAAATTAGAATCTAGTGTTCCCGTCAGTAGATTTAGTAAAATATGATACTGATCCCTTACAGCTTATTTTATCATATTTTTTAATTTTATTTATGTAATTTTACTCTTTTATTATTTTGTAAATATTTGATTTACCCAAAACAACTCATCTGCATGGTTTCTTCAGAAGCTAATTTTGAATTCTATTCTTTTTACATTTTTACCCTTATTTGTAAAATACATTTTCGAAAAAAATTGTTTTTGCTTTTCTCATTCATGGATTTTTAGTATGAATATTTTAATAAAAAAAATTCTATTCAATCACATTCTCGATGGAAAAAAATCTCGGAAACACCAGCCGAGAGACAAATTCCATATCGGACCAATTTCGGAAAATATCAAAATGTTACTTTAATTATCTTGGAAAGTTTTGCAAGCACTGCAAGCGCACACCTCCCCGGAAGCGATTTTGACCTCGTTGTTACGACCACCTCTAAAATTTATTTTATAAGTTAAATGAAACACATGGGAATACAAATCTGTTTTTATCAAAATATTTCATCGGGCCCATTGGATTTTACGGCCAAAATACCATTGGATCTAAATTAAGAAAATTTTGAGGAAGCATACGAATTAGAAAAAAATCTTCTTGAATCTATTTTTGTTTATATTGTGTTTTTGAAACCCCATTTTACAGTTTTGAAGGAAAAGAAAAAAAAAATTGATAAAAATTTATGCCTTGAGTTACCAATTAATGCTGGATTTTTGACTTCATAAAAATCCAGGATATTTTAGCACGATACCAGCTTATGTGAATGTGAATGTGAAGATGGAACTCACTTTTTCCGTCTATTCCATCAAACACTCTACAGATATAAATTATTTTTTAGAGCCAAAACCGGTATTTTTAGTGACCCAAAGAAACTGTCAACTATGATGATTTATTAAAGATACAATTTTATATTATCGATGTCGAGATTTTCCCTTTGTTCTCGAATTTTAATTTAAAAAGTCAATCCACTAAAAATACTATCATTACACAAAAACGAACATTGAATATTTACTATTTCAATATAACTTTATGTCAAGAATCGTTTCATATGCACCAAGAAATATTTAAAATTAAGTAGTTCCAACCACTTCACTGTTTTGTTTAAACTCAAAGTTTTGAACTTGCGCGCCAGCGGTATTTTAAGCCGCAATTCAGAATGGGACCGAGTTTGATTTCATCGTCTTCTCTAACTAGTTTTTCTTTCGGTTTCATACGCGTAAATATACTAATTAGAAAAATGGTCGTAACAACGAGGTCAAAATCGCTTCCGGGGAGGTGTGAGCGGCGCGATTTAGGTAGGACGGACTTGGACATCTTGGAGAAACGGGGCGTTCGGTTTCTTTTTTGAATTCAATCATGTTCTATTCAACAATCTTTCAACTTACACGGCGAGAACTTATTATAAATTTTCTTTTACAACGCATCACTGACAAAAAAGGAAAAGGCGAAATATTTTTGATTAACAGAAAAATTGTAATCGAAAATGAAAATGACAGAAAGGACCGAACTGTTAAAGCGACAGTAAAGGAAAAATGAAAGGGTGTATAGGCTGAAAGCTAATCACTTTAGCTCTTGATCGCGACCCATGAAAGTCATATCTGATGTTCAGGTCTCGAGAAATTTATATAAAACTGTGTCAAATATATACGAAAATTAATATATATACAATTTTGTATAAAAGTAGTAGGTTTAAACAGATCATATTCAGCAAGTAAGCAACCAATCTGAAAACGATGATATCCCAGAGAAAGCTAATTGTAAATTAGGTTTACTTTTATATTTGTTATTTCTATTTTCAATAGATTTCATTCATAATATTATTTTTACGTCCGTATTACTTGACCAGAAATTCCACCAATGGCAGTGCAGTAAAGTGGTCACGTGATACAGGCGGACACACGTGACCAGTATACTTCTCTGCCATTGGTGATAGTTCTGGTCACGTGATTTAAGTTTCAGATTTTCAAAATTTTACATATATGAATTTTCGGATAATTTTAACACAGTTTTATATCAGTTTCTCGAGACAGAAACATCAGATATAACTTTCATGGGTCGCGATCAAGAGCTAAAGTGATTAGCTTCCAGCCTATACCCCCTTTCATTTTCCCTTTACTGTCCCTTTAAATTAGCTTGTTCACTCGAATTCCCGACATTTTTTTTGCAGTGGTGTGATTCTTGAAATGAAATAACCTGAGCTGGTAAATTTTGTGAGAAAATTTAACGCTTATTCGCTTTATCCACTCAGGGATATCGAAGAGGAATTAAATTAATCCGTAGAATGAAAAATGCTTAATCGAGAAATTCACAAATGAGAATTTTGAGATGACATTATGATCTTATCATGATTTTTAAAAAAAAACCTAGGATCTAGTTCGTTGTATCTTAAACATTGGCTGATATCATACATCAAATTTTTGGCTTGTCTAATATCTATCAAATACAAATCAGGATTAAATTCTTAGTATCTCTCAATCTTAAAGATTTCAGAAAAAGTCCTAAAGCTAAATCAAGTTGACCAGAAGATTAATTTAGTTAAAAGATTTATTGTTTGCTAAATGAAATTGCAAACCTCAAACAGACACATTTAGCAGAAAAACACTCGAGGATATTTTAGTCGAATTAAAACAAAAAATAATTTCAGTCCTAATAATCATGGATAAGAAGCTGTCCTATAGTTTTCTAGCTGGAAAATTGAATAATTTTCATCCGTGGGTTATCTGTAATTTGTGACTGGCGGATTTATACAGGAGGGACAACGACGAATGAAACCAGCCACTTTATAAATAAATACTTACATTAAAACGTAATTTCAAGGGCCCTCCATACAAAGAGAGGAATGTCCGATTACTAACGGTACCATTGAAACCATAATCTGATCAATAATGTGGAAGAAAATATGTCGTTTTATTGCTTGAAAATTGGTTAATTCTGATAATTTCTCTATTGATTTTGAATCAAGAAATGCATATACGCCTCTAGACTTATCAGTCACTTTTGCAGCTCATCAATAAGAGTCAAGTGAAATTAGATTTAAACCAGAGAAAATAAAATCTGCTTGTTAACGGTTTTGTAATTATAGTTCCTTTGTAAATGAATTAAAAAAAAATTAAAAAAAGAACCTGTCAAATCTTTCTCTGGGATGTTTAGAAAGATGAAAATTTCCCTGTATGATAATTGATGAAAGAATGCAGTATAGTTTTGGTGAATCATATTGACGTACTAAGCCTAGGGGTGTCAGAAATGATTTTTTTGCATTTTTTTTAAACGTCCCATAAAACTAAAAAAGTTTAATTTTGATAAAACTTTTTGTTCTGGATGATTGCAAATATCTATCTAAAACTTTCTTAAACCGGCATATATTTTCTATATTCATTTAGTTAAGAGTTTAAGTCAAAATAAGTATTAATAAATATTGTTTTATATCGAGTAGATATCCTTAAACATATCGATGTGAAACCTTTCAGAAAGTAGGAAAGATTCTGCAGAAAAAAGTCTCCAAACCAAACAGAATTTTTATATTGAACAAAAATATTTAGAACTTTTATAGAAGCTTTTCGGGGTTGCACTTTACTCTAGTTTTGCATTATTTTCATTTGTGTAAAACAATATAAAAGAGATTATGTTTATGTGTTTTTAAACTAAACAGCTGATGATTCATTGGAGGGAGGAATGGCAAAAACACCATTTTGTACTTCCCAAATCTTGTTATGGAAAGTGATGGTAGAGTGTTTCAGGGTACAGGGTACTTCAATGTACTGCAAAGTACTGGGCTTTACTGGGGTATACTGGGGGGGAGGGGGTACAGAAACCTGCAAACAGAATTTTTTATTTTTAATAAAAATATATATGTAGAGTCAGAAGCACTTTTAAAGATATTTTCTTTATAGTTTTGCACTATTTTCATGGACAAAAAAGCTAGTTTAATACTAATCAGCTGATCACTTAATGGAGGGAGGGATGGCAACCACGCTAATTTGTAATCCCCATATCGGCAGGGTACTGTGAGGTACTTTGGAGTACTGTGGGGTGCTTTGGGGTACTGGAATTTACTGAAGACGATATCATTGTTTCACAGGGTTAAAAGAAGATGATATCATTGCCTCATAGGGTTAAAAGAAGACGATATCATTGGTTCATAGGGTTTAAAGAAGACGATATAATTGTTTCACCGGGTTAAAAGAAGACGATATCATTGTTTCAAAGGGGTTAAAGAAGACGATATCATTGTTTCACAGGGTTTAAAGAAGACGATATCATTGTTTCACAGGGTTTAAAGAAGACGAAAGGGTTAAAAGAAGACGATATCGTTGTTTCAAAGGGTTAATAGAATACGATATTATTGTTTCATAGGTTTAAAAGAATACGATATCATTGTTTCATAGGGTTAAAAGAAGACGATATTATTGTTTAAAGGGTTTAAAGAAGACGGTATAATTGTTTCATAGGGTTAAAAGAAGACGATATCATTGTTTCATTTTTATTTTCTGAAAATGTTAAACTCCGTAAGTCCGAAAATTTTGGATTAGAACAATCCCGTAGTAAATCGTTAGTCACGTAAATACGGTTTAAACATGACAACATGTGCTTTTTTCTTTAATCCATATTCGACCATACTCTTGTTTTTTAGCGATCACTGAAATCTTAAATTTGTATTTCAATCATCTGATAAATATCATATTCTAAAAAGTAACGGTAATTAAAATCAAAATATTTATATGTACATTATAAAATTCATTGGAGGGAACTTACTAAAACAACTCATTTTAAGCATAACATATAGCCCCAATTTAATTTCAGAGCATAATAAGTTGTTTTTGTCTTAAAAATTGACTAGATTTTTTTTACTATTAAACAGTTCTTTTTTAATTCCACGACATTATGTACACGTTACACTGTACTGTACAGTGTACAGTCTATTATGTACACGTACACAACAGATTTCAGGTTACATCTAACCATTTGATGAACCCTATCTTTAATGGGAAATCTTCAAGTCGGATATATCATCAAGGAGTACGGATTGTCACTTTCCCGCTTGTATTGATTACTACAAAATGTTTCTCGGGTTTTATCAAATGTTTCTTCACAAATCACTTGAATTTTTAACTTGAATTTGCTATAATATTATCTAGTATGCGCTTTTATATATCCGGAATTCGCGTACGCATGGCGTGTTTATAGCTGCCGGCCTGGCTAGCTGGTCGGGAATGTAAACTGTACTGGTCCGGCGCCAGGTCAAAATGACCGGCTTCGCGAGCACGATGTCGAGCCCGTGCGCGAGAGCGAGGAGTGCGGTTCGGAGTCCGAGAACGGGAAGGTGTGGTCGGTTGGTAAACGGCTGGAGGTGGGCGGTTCATATTTAAGCTGTTGTACAGGGGAGAGTTATCGTAATGCAGGCTTCCGTTGGAGATTCCGTTATACTTTCCGTTTCTAGAACCTAGACAGATACAACTATTAAAATTTGTATCAATTATAAATAATGACGATTTAAAGATTCAGAAGATTCATTGAAAGCTTTTAAAGCAATGTTTATGACAACTGTTGTATCATTTTTGTGACAGGTTATAATTTTAGTTTGATTTTCAATTAGAGAATTTCTCGCGAAAAATCCGACAAAAATATTTTCAAAACTGAACATACATTAAAATTTAAAATGTTATGCTTCTTCCAAAGTCTAAAAAAACAAACTTTGCATAAGGTTGCAAGTTACAGAGTTACCAACGAAGGGTGCGACTTCCATGACGACCAAATAAATCTTTAACCAATCTAGAGTCCAAAAGCAAATTGTTACACAGACTCAATTCCTTTACCAATATAGAGGAAGAGATTGTGTTTGTTTATCTGATGAATTGAATATTGCTTTTGAATGGTAAATGAAATGATTTGACAAAGAAAGAAGCAAGTGTAAAAATGCAAGAAACCATGAATAAAAATATGAAATCTCACACTTTCCGGAAAACCCTTTGTACGATTGTACATAAAAAGTTGATCTTACTTGGTCTAGAGTTAGAATATGTAGATTTAGTATTCTGAAGACTGGAGTAGGGTAGACTAGCAGGACTAAGTATCCTGGTCCCTGGGTGTTCAGGACCCAAAGGTCTTGAGGTTTCCAGGGTCCGGGTTCCAGGATGATCTAAACTGAACCTACTCCCATACTGGCTCCCAGACCAGCTCCGGTATGGGTCATAATCCTGGAAAGAAAAAACTCAGAAATTCATGAGGCTAAAAGGTACATATATAAATAAATATAATTGTAATAAGAACAAAGAACAAAGAGAAAAAGAAAAGAAAAAAGAGGCCTTACATAAAAACAAAATACAAAATTAGCTAAATTTTTTTTTTTTTAATATACAACCGTTTTAATTGAGCACTATTTTGATACAGAAATGTTAAAGACACCTTAGACGATGTTGGTAAATGGTACCTCTCGTCTTTACTTAAATATCTGAACAATCCCATTAAACAGAAACCAGATTTTACCTGAACTGTAAACACACTTCCTGCCTTCTCCTCTGGTTCCGTATCCGTCTTAGATATAGAACAGGTCATAGCGGAGCAGAGGAAGATATTAACGCAGAGCATGATGAGGAAGAGGATACCGAACACCACGCACAACCAGAGGAGCCAGGGGGGTCCCAGCTCACACTCTTCAGTAGAAGCTAAATATTTTAATATAGGGTTAAGGTTAGATTTACTCTTTTTTTTAATATTTATTTTCTGAACTCTTCTCCCTTTGTACCTTATCTTATCCCTATATTTTCTATCCTTCTTTACCGTTTTTTATCTTTCTATCTCTTCTTTTCATTTTTATCATTCATTATCTTTCTAAGAATCTCCGTACTTCATTCAATTATATCCCTATCTATTTATCTCTTTCATTTATTTCTATCCTTTATTACCTTTCTAGGTATTTATTTTATATATCTCCAGGTATACTTTCTTATTTATAATTATACTCTTCTTTAAATTTCTATCCTTCTTTACCTATCTTTCTCTTTCCATTGAACTATAGTGTTTTTTTAGCTATCTTTCTCCTTCTATTGAATTATTTTCTTTTTTTAGCTATCTTTCTCCTTCTATTGAATTATATTTTTTTTAGCTATCTTTCTCCTTCCATTGAATTATATTCTTTTTTTTTAGCTATCTTTCTCCTTCCATTGAATTATAGTGTTTTTTAGCTATCTTTCTCCTTCCATTGAATTATAGTGTTTTTTTTAGCTATCTTTCTCCTTCTGTTGAATTATATTCTTTTTTTAGCTATCTTTCTCCTTCTATTGAATTATGTTTTTTTTTAGCTATCTTTCTCCTTCTATTGAGTCATATTCTTTTATTAGCTATCTTTTTCTTTCCATTGAATTATAGTGTTTTTGAAGCTATCTTTCTTTTTCCATTGAATAAAAGTGTTTTTTTTAGCTATCTTTCTCCTTCTATTGAATTATATTCTTTTTTTAGCTATCTTTCTCCTTCTATTGAGTCATATTCTTTTATTAGCTATCTTTTTCCTTCCGTTGAATTATAATGTTTTTTAGCTGTCTTTCTCCTTCTATTGAATAATATTCTTTTTTATCTATCTTTCTCTTTCCATTGAATTATAGTGTTTTTTATCTATCTTTCTCCTTCCATTTAATGATATCAGCAAAGTTGATTAAAATTTTTTGTATTTTGTTGCTTCCTTGCACAATGCACATCATGATAAGTTTCCGAGATCAGATGATCTAAACCAATACTTATGCTTCACCTTATATGCAATTACGATGTTAAATATCCGGTGTGTGGGGGGGGGGGGAGAAGGAAGGACTTGTTTCTCATCGTAGACACAGAGATTAGGGGTTTCTCAGGTTCAATATTTCAAGGTTGAATGGATAGGATGTCAACTGCTCAGGGTTCATGATAAACTCCAGGGTTAAATACTTTCATTTTAATTATATAAATGTTTATGTTTAGACTCGGCAGAAAATATTTTTTCTAAAAAATCTATTTTAGATAATTTTGACTCAAAATATCGTTTTCATGGTAATTAAAGTAATTATGAGGCTAATTCGGAGTTAATAAAGATGATTAACTCTTAACTCTGTATTCTTCCTTCTCTCACTTCTTTTAACCTTTTCAGAAATATTCTTCTTATCTCGCCATTTATCTTTCCATAGTTGGTTTCCTTCAACCCCGTCCTTTGTTCTTTGTAATATTCATCTTCTTTAATCTTTAAACAAACAGTTTTAGCATCATCTCTCATCTCTTTACCTCACCTTACATAATCTTTCTCCGCCTTACCTTACCTTACATAATCTTTCTCCGCCTTACCTCACCTTACATATTCTTTCTCCGCCTTACCTCACCTTACATATTCTTTCTCCGTCTTACCTTACCTTACATAATCTTTCTCCACCTTACCTCACCTTACATAATCTTTCTCCGCCTTACCTTACCTTACATAATCTTTCTCCGCCTTACCTCACCTTACATATTCTTTCTCCCCCTTACCTCACCTTTCTTAACCTTTCTCCCCCTTACCTCACCTTACATAATCTTTCTCCGCCTTACTTCACCTTACATAATCTTTCTCCGCCTTACCTCACCTTACACATTCTTTCTCCGCCTTACCTCACCTTACATAACCTTTCTCCGTCTTACCTTACCTTGACTATTTTTCCGCCTTACCTTGCCGTGCATCATCTTTCACAGCCTTACCTCTTCTTAAATAATTTTTCTTAATCTTCACCTTATATCACCTTTCAAAATAATTCTCTACCCTACATTACCTTGAATAATCTTTTATTGCCTTACTTTACTTACTTTCATCACCGTTCTCCGCCTTATCTACCTCACCGTAAATCAATATATAATATTTTTCCACCTTTTTTTCTTCGCTGAATTTTGATATTTTACTCTTCCCTACCCTGGCTTACACTTCCCCCTTTTCTAACTACTTATTCCGTTCAAAGCATTTATCTATACCTAGAGCAGAGACTCCGGGTTCCAGGACGAAAACTGTCGTTGAAGCCATCATTCGATGATCCTGATCCCCTTCTCCTTCTCCTCCCCCAACCCTGGACCTAGCTGAGGTATCAGGGTCAGTTACACACAAGGACTCCTGAAATATTTACTATTTTTTATCTTTAAATTAAAAAAAAAATTACTCGGATGGTAGAAGCGATGTAGTCTTTGGTTTAGGTTTATAATTAGTTAACTTTTAAGAAGAGGCCTTTATCGGATCTATAATGTACAAGATCGTCATTTTATTTAGAAACCACAATTGAAAAGAATAATCTTTAAAGAGAAAATTATTGATAACTTATGCTTTCCTAATCAGAGAAAGGTATTCAGGGTACTGTTTGATATATTATCTCTTTAAGCAAAGAGTTCCGTGTGTAAAAAGATTAAAGAACGATACTTCTAGACCTAGGATGTTTAGGATGGCCTGGGTGGAAATTAAGAATCTCAGCAAAGTTTCCAAGTGTAATAAATCGTTAGAAGATTTTGTGATATAATCCTTCATTTCCTGTTCAGATTTATTTCTTTTCACACCCTCCGTTAAAAAATCAGTGCAGAAATAAAATGTTAACAATAAAATCATATAGAGCACAACTAAAGCATTTGGGTTAAAAATAAACTTTGTATTGGTATTAGGTACCTATACACTGGGGTGTATTCCAGGTATACTAAAGTGTAACCTAAACCTCTTAGAGTGAATCCTAGGTTTCTTAGGGTTAAACCTAAACCAACATGGTATGTTCAAGGTTGATTAGGATTAAACCTAAACCTGCAGGGTGTATCCCTGGTTTACTAGGGTTAAAACAGAACATTCAGGGTGTATCCCAGGTTACTGGGTTAAACCTAAATCTTCAGGGTGTATCCCAGGCTACTGGGCTAAACCTGAACCTTCAGGGTGTATCCCAGATTACTAGTGTTAAAACTAACCCTTCAGGGTGTATCCCAGATTACTAGAGCTAAACCTAAACCTTCAGGGTGTATCCCAGATTACTAAGGTTAAAACTAAACCTTCAGGGTGTATCCCAGGTTACTAGGGTTAAACCTAAACCTTCAGGGTGTATCCCAGATTACTAGGGTTAAAACTAAACCTTCAGGGTGTATCCCAGATTAATATGGTTAAAAATAAACCTTCAGGGTGTATCCCAGATTAATATGGTTAAACCTAAACCTTCAGGGTGTATCCCATATTAATATGGTTAAAACTTAACCTTCAGGGTGCATCCCAGATTAATATGGTTAAAAATAAACCTTCAGGGTGTATCCCAGATTGCTAGGGTTAAAACTAAACCTTCAGGGTGTATCCCAGATTAATATGGTTAAACATAAACCTTCAGGGTGTATCCCAGGTTAATATGGTTAAACCTAAACCTTCAGGGTGTATCCCAGATTAATATGGTTAAAACTAACCCTTCAGGGTGCATCCCAGATTAATATGGTTAAAACTAAACCTTCAGGGTGTATCCCAGATTAATATGGTTAAACCTAAACATTCAGGGTGTATCCCAGATTAATATGGTTAAAATTAAACCTCCAGGGTGTATCCAAGATTAATATGATTAAAAATAAACCTTCAGATGTGTATCCCAGGTTAATATGGTTAAACCTAAACCTTCAGATGTGTATCCCAGGTTAATATGGTTAAAACTAAACCTTCAGGGTGTATCCCAGATTAATATGGTTAAAGCTAAACCTTCAGGGTGTATCCCAGGTTAATATGGTTGAACCTAAACCTTCAGATGTGTATCCCAGGTTAATATGGTTAAAACCAAACCTTCAGGGTGTATCCTAGATTAATATGGTTAAACCTAAACCTTCAGGGTGTATCCCAGGTTAATATGGTTAAAACTAAACCTTCAGGGTGTATCCCAGATTAATAGGGTTAAAACTAAACCTTCAGGGTGTATCCCAGACTAATTAGGTTAAAACTAAACCTTCAGGGTGTATCCCAGATTACTAGGGTTAAAAATAAACCTTCAGATGTGTATCCCAGGTTAATATGGTTAAACCTAAACCTTCAGGGTGTATCCCAGATTAATATGGTTAAAAATAAACCTTCAGATGTGTATCCCAGGTTAATATGGTTAAACCTAAACCTTCAGGGTGTATCCCAGGTTAATATGGTTAAAACTAATCCTTCAGGGTGTATCCCAGATTAATATGGTTAAAACTAAACCTTCAGGGTGTATCCCAGATTAATATGGTTAAAACTAAACTTTCAGGGTGTATCCCAGATTAATATGGTTAAAACTAAATCTTCAGGGAGTATCCCAGGTTACTAGGGTTAAACCTAAACCTTCAGGGTGTATCCCAGATTAATATGGTTAAAACTAAACCTTCAGGGTGTATCCCAGATTAATATGGTTAAAACTAAACCTTCAGGGTGTATCACAGATTATTATGATTAAAACTAAACCTTCAGGGTGTATCCCGGATTAATATGGTTAAAACTGAACCTTCAGGGTGTATCCCAGGTTACTGGGTTAAAACTAAACCTTCAGGGTGTATCCCAGGTTACTAGGGTTAAAAATAAACCTGGCAGGATTTTGAGTTGCAGAGTATAATATCACATTGAAGATGAACTGTATTAGAATCTGGAAACCTGAAACACGTTGATGATTATCTATCTATCAATCAATGATTAGTATCATCATTATTCATGTTATCATTGTTTTTATAGTCATTATTAATTATTAACATTATTACTACAGGTGTCGGCGATTTATATCAATACAATGAATACGAATTTTTATTAGTAATGCTTTGAATCCTAACAAACGTTTTTTAAAGTATAAGTTTACAAGTACACAAAGAGAAGCTGTAATTGACAACTGCTTTTTGTTTACAAGTTTCTGTGTCTTTGCTGTTTGAAAGCTTGGTAAAAATATAAATTGAAATAGAAAGTCGTCTTGTTTACATTTTGGTATCTTGCTTTGCGTCCGACATATTTTTATATAATTTTCTTTCGTCCTAATCTAGACTCTTTCAGTTTTTTAAATTTTCCAATGTTCTTGATAACAAATAGTTTAATTAAATATTTTCAAACTCATTTTACCACAACAATATAGTTTTCAGGCCTGCAACTCATTCATCAGGGGTTTACAGTCTTTTAGTGGGGATAAAAGGGCTATAGGAGAAACCATTCATACGTTTTAATTTTATCAGATTTTTTTCAAAGAGAATTTTGGAAAACCCGTCCTCAACAAACCCCATAGTCTTTAATGTCTGGAGAAACTGGACAGTTATTTTACAAAAAAACATCGGATATGAGAGAATACTGCCACTGGACAAGTTATTTTACAAAAAAACATCGGATATGAATAAAAATATTACCATATATTGATTTAGATTCTAAAAATGTTGGTTCATCTTAAAGCCTTTAAGAATTTTTTTCGACTACTTTCTCAAAAATATATTTTCAATAAAAAATGAGTAAATTTACGTTTAATTTTTGATTGACCTGCCCCCCCCCCCCTGGCCCCCCCGCTTATATTCCTGACCTGAACATGGAGTAAAGATTGGCCGAGGATCGTCCTGAGCTCTGATCAAACACAAACTGAGACATCACGTTCTTCTCCGGACACCTGAACACCAGGAACAGTTTAGAGTTATTCAACACACCCGGAGATAACGGTTTAAAGTTATTCAACCCATCCGGAGATTTGTTTCTGAAAGGAACTGTCGTATTTATTTCAAGTGACCCTCCATTGAAATGGTACCATTTAAAATTTATCTGATTTTTTCTAGCTTTAAAAGTGTGTATTTCTGAATATTTCCAACATTGATTCTGTAGCATAAATCCACCATTCACGTTTCTAAAAGCACCTTTATGGCTATAACATCATAGGAAAGTTTGAACAGATCTAACTAGAATCAATCAATCAATCAATAACTGGCAATCCGTCCAAAGGAATTGAGTCTTTGTCACAAACTCTGATTTTCTCTTCCCTATATCTTTGCAATCCAATGTCGTAGACCTTTGACATTTCAAACTATGACTTCTATTAGATTAAATAATATAAGTTTGAAATATCAAAGGTTTACGACATTGGGTTCCAAAAATAGAGGGATTAGAAAATCAGAGTTTGTGGCAAAGACTCAATTCCTTTACCGTTAACCGAGTTTGCTACAGTTTTCATTTCTGCATAGTTTAAGTAACATTAATTTTTCTACATTGTATTTAGATTTATTCTCAATAAAAATATTTCTAAACAAGGTTTTAATGATTTATATCAAGATATCTGTCATTGTATTCTTTTTATTCAAGATACCATGAAAGGAAAAATAAGTATTATCTACAATGAACTACATAAACTTTTAATATTTCAAAACAAAATAATATCTTTTGAAAATCTCTCTCAAAAAATAATTGTTTTAAATAAAACAAAGAAACTTAAAAGTTGAAGAAGCGAGATTTGTTTTTCGTGTAGAATTTTCACGGTTCGTTTGCATCTTTGCCATGGATTACATAGATAGAAAATAGTTTTATACTGTTAGTTAGGTATTTAATCAGTTTTGAATTGGCAGACACGTATACCCTGAGAGGGGATATGTATTGGGTCGAGCATCATATATATATAAAGTTGTAATTGGTGTTTGTATGTCAGATCATAACTGATGAACCCCTTGACCGATTTGCCTCAAATCTTGATTTGGGAATTTGGAAGAACCACGGAAACGTTTTAAGCTTGGTTTTGAAATTCTTAGTTGAGTGAGTCCACTTTTACACGGAAAATCGTAATTTATAACAGAGCGCAGGTAAACGGCGGGAGTAACTATATGAGTACCTAGGAAAACGCTGGGTTCTCAAGCTAGTATCCTATAAAGAAAGTCTGCGGAGGTTGTCATGGCTTAGGCAACATATCTATCCTGTCTATATAGACATGTAATCCGAATAAACTGTAATTTTCTAAATTATCCATGATATTGTATATATGTGGAATGTAGATCTTTAATCGGTTTACATCATGAAACAATGGCGGTTATTGAACCTTTTTATTCAACTGTTTCACTTTAATCTGTTTATTGTTAACTCTACAGAACTAGATTCTTTCTTTTCATTTCTTTTAATCCGTCTTCATTTTTCACTTTTCCGTTCTATGCCTTAAACTCTTCTTTTTAAATCTATTTATACATTTAACTTTTAACGTTTGCTTCCGTAGACCCTACCCTTTTCCCTTAACCGGAACCCCTTCCCTTAAACCTCCGCCCCTTCCAAGTCCCTATTCCCCTTCATTACCCCCTCCCATGCCCCTTATCCCCTTTCCAATCACTTAACCCCCTTTCACCCACTTCTGCCTTCATAACCAAATGTACTTCTGTAAATGTCTGATGTTGGTTTACAGTCCTATTGTAAAATGGTTGTATGAAACTATCTTGGCATATTTTGAATATCATATAAATACATTTCCCACATCTATTCAGCCTTCTATCTTCAATAATATATTTCCAAAATCTGACATCAATAGAAACATTTTTACTTACAAAAATAAAAAATAGCATAAATGCGTTCATATCCATTTGTCATTGGAGCTTATTTACTTTGTTTGTTTTGCTTTGAAGTTTCTTGTAAAAATTCTATTTTACAATATGTCCAAATAAAGAATAAATCTAGTATACAAGATGTCCAAATAAAGAATAAATCTAGTATACAAGATGTCCAAATAAAAGAATAAATCTAGTATACAAGATGTCCAAATAAAGAATAAATCTAGTATACAAGATATCCAAATAAAGAATAAATCTAGTATACAAGATATCCAAATAAAGAATAAATCTAGTATACAAGATATCCAAATAAAGAATAAATCTAGTATACAAGATGTCCAAATAAAGAATAAATCTAGTATACAAGATGTCCAAATAAAGAATAAATCTAGTATACAAGATATCCAAATAAAGAATAATGATGAAACAAAGAGCAGCACTAAACTTTGGGTCAATCAGAATTTTTGTAAAGATCCGACTGAAGCTCTGGGACTTTCCAAAGTTTTGTAAACATACCAAGCTTTTTCAGTCAGAAGAATGTATTACAACCCTAAGCTTTGACAGTCAAAGCTTTATATTTGTATTAAGTTTTGTTTCCCTTTACAAGTTCTTGGCTGTCCTAAAATTTTATGCAAAATTAAAAAATATCAAGGGATTTTGGGACACTCTTGGCAAAGAGTAGAAGGAAAACCAACTCATTTATATTTCAAAACCTTCCTTTCAAACCTGTCTCTGCGGTTTACCACATTGACTTGAAAGGGGAGTCTTTCGAACTTATGCCACTGGGACTTAAAGAGACTGTTCGTGAAACACATTTAAAGGAACGTTAAGCGTTTGTTCAAGTGACCCTCTATGCAAAGATTACCCTGTCAGATTCACAACAGTACCCTTAAAAGATTTGTCTGATGAATTATATAGATATCAATGTTCATAATTATTAAAACTGATAATTTTTAATTGTGTTTTCTCTACAAAAGTGACTTGCACATTGCTACTGCAGGAAAACAAATAGAAATTTTAAATCTAGAAGAACGACAATATCTTCCATATTTCAAGGGTACCGCTGTGAATCGGGTATCGCTATCTTTGCACAGGGGGTCCCTAAATATTACGTTTACAGTCTCTTTAAATCCTAACATCGTCCTAAAACGAGGCTAAAGCTTACAGAAAAGAAAAGAAATGAATGCGTGTAGATCTTGGATGTGAAACTTCTTTCATTGTACATTGTATCCATCTGAATACAATGTCTATCTATCTATCTATCTATCTATCTATCTATCTATCTATCTATCTATCTATCTATCTATCTATCTATCTATCTATCTATCTATCTATCTACAATTCTTCTTAATCTAACACTCTCAGCTCCACTTAAAAAAAAACTCTTTCAGCTAAATTTTCGGTTTATTGAACCATCTTCAGGCATTCTTGTTCAGTCTCGACCAAAGATTAACTATCTATCTATCTATCTATCTATCTAGATACATATCTATTATCTATCCATGACAAAATCTGAAGAACGAGCCAAACCTAGAGATATCCTACTATCCATACACACTACACGGAGCAGAGTAAAAACGTCCTTGCCATTTAAAAAACCCAGTGCACGTATACTCTAGTTTCTTATAGACTCTTAACTCACAGATAAAGATAATTTAGTTCCATAGTTCCGTTGCTCTAAATCTTTATCTGAATAATTTAGTTCCATAGTTCCATTGCTCTAAATCTTTTTTCGATATTGTTGCTAATTCACTATAGATTTACTAGTCTGTTGGTTTCTCGCAGAGAAGAGGAAACCGGGACCGAATTTAATAAATTGGAGTAAAGTCGTTGAACCATGCCAACTGCACCCTGGTTCAAATCCTGAATTACCGATTCAAAGTTAAAGATTCAAAAGGTTTTGAATCGGTGATTCAGGACTTGAACCGGCTAGGGGTGGTTAAGCAACCTCTCCAATTCATTAACTTTGGTCCCTAAAGAGTTAAAGTTTATCTAAAAATCCCTTCAGACGTTGCTTCAGTAAAAGGAATTTTTCCATATTTCAATAATACTTTTTAACATTTGAATAGAAAATAGATTGCAAAATAGATTGTATTCACGATATGGTTGTTCAAAATATTCCGGAACGCTTCTTCCTTGCATTTTGGGTTAATTAGAGTAATGTAATGCATATCGAAAAGTTATGACGTTATGAATACGAAATATAGTTCATCTTTTTCTATGCTATTCATCAATTCCGACCTCTACACCATTTCGCACTGTTTTGACAAAGTTTAAAGGGGATACAGTAATAACCAGAAAACTGTGAAATAGAAAGACGACTTTTAGAATCAAGTTATAACTTTCAATGAGCATGTGAAACAGTAATTGTGCAGTGTAAACAGACCCACTTCACTTAATTAGTGATTTGATTATTGTCTAGTAAACCTATTTGCTTTGTAACAACCTCAAATACACTTAAATATTGCTATACATTCGTCCTTCTTTTTCAAAGTTTTCTGTTTACTACTGTAGTTCTGTCCAATTAAAGTTTACATCTCAGTTTATTACTGTAGTTCTGTCCAATTAAAGTTTACATCTCAGTTTATTACTGTAGTTCTGTCCAATTAAAGTTTACATCTCAGTTTATTACTGCTGTTACTGTAGTTCTGTCCAATTAAAGTTTACATCTCAGTTTATTACTGTAGTTCTGTCCAATTAAAGTTTACATCTCAGTTTATTACTGCTGTTCTGTTCCTGTAAAGTTTACATCTCAGTTTATTACTGCTGTTCTGTCCCTTTGAAGTTTCCATCTCAGTTTATTACTGCTGTTCTGTCTCTTTAAAGTTTACATCTCAGTTTATTACTGTTGTTCTGTCCCTTTAAAGTTTACATCTCAGTTTATTACTGTTGTTCTGTCCCTTTAAAGTTTACATCTCAGTTTATTACTGCTGTTCTGTCCCTTTAAAGTTTCCATCTCAGTTTATTACTGTTGTTCTGTCCAATTAAAGTTTCCATCTCAGTTTATTACTGCTGTTCTGTCCAATCAAAGTCACCATCTCAGTTTATTATTTGAACTCTTACCCTTTATCATTAAGAAGCCGAACTGATGAATTCTTGTCACTGAAGGCAAAACAGTTTCTCACCCGTATACCGTAATCATCTACAAACAAATTGATTCAAATATTAAAATGTTTTTTTAAAAACTCTCCTCTGGTGCGACTTTTTGACCAAATTTTATACACCAGAAGTGAGACATGTAAGCCTTGGTTTGGTTGCATGGTTGTAAAGATCTATTTTTTCTATCTTTATGTCTTCAAAGTAAAGTGTTGTAATTAAAAACATGCAAGGTAGGTTCAAACTAAAATTAAATTAGCTTTAGTTTAATGTGATTGCAGTTTATTATATTTTGTACTAGATTTTACGTCAAAATAAAATTCCTACAAAATTCTGTCAAGAAGGAATTAATGGCCCAACCGTTTCCTTTGTGACAAATTTTTACGTCAATAGCATAAAAATAATATTGAACAAGCACTAATTTACTTATATCTTTGCAGCTTCCTATTCGTAGTTACGTACACCTTTGATATTTCAAACTATAAATTCCGTTAGAACAAAATATCTAAGTTTAGGATAGCAAATATTTGCACCTTCAGGTTGCAATAATGTTAAGATTAGAAAATAATAGCCTGTACCTTAATAATTTTTATATAAAAAATATCTACTTTTTAAGTTTGTTCTGGTAGGATTATGTCTTATTTATGTAAATTTAAACTAATAAATATTGTTTCTTCAACAAAATTAAAAATTTTAATACATTTATTAAATGAAAATGAATTTCTATCAGATCTTTTCATACTCTTATAACCATTGTAAATATCAATCTAAACTTTTGTATAAATCTGTCTCTTCTATTTTGTTCTAAATCTCTTGACATCCTAGAAACAAGATTTAGTTAATCCCTAGCTTTCCATAGATCTATCTATAATCCTTACCATCTATTTTTCTATCTATCCATCTATCTGTAACCTATACCATCTATCTATCTATAAAGCTAGGTTTCAAGGAAACTACAGGTTCAAAGAAAGCTAGGTTTCAAGAAAACTAGATTTCAAGAAAGTTAGACTCAAGAAAAACTAGGGTTGACTGAGACTAGGTTTCAGGAAGGCTAAGTTTCAAGAAAACTAGGGTTCAATAAAACTATATATCAGGAAAGCTATGTTTCAAGAAAACTAGGGTTAAATAAAACTATATATCAGGAAAGCTATGTTTTAAGAAAACTAGGATTCAATAAAACTAGATATCAGGAAAGTTATGTTTCAAGAAAACTAGGGTTCAATAAAACTAGATATCAGGAAAGCTATGTTTCAAGAAAACTAGGGTTCAATAAAACTAGATATCAGGAAAGTTATGTTTTAAGAAAACTAGGGTTCAATAAAACTAAATATCAGGAAAGTTATCTTTCAAGAAAACTAGGGTTCAATAAAACTAGATATCAGGAAAGCTATGTTTCAAGAAAACTAGAAAGAGAAGATATCTAAACTGGCTTTGAGAACATTAATTAAAAAACTTTGATTTAAGAAAATCAGGTTTTAATTAAAATAGAAACTAAAATTTGGTCTCAATAATAAGGATGTAAAAATCTGGTCTCGAGAAAGGGTTAAATTAAACCCGAGCTTAAAGTAAATGTTAGTAAAGCTATATATTTCTTCCACAAACTCTGAACTCTCCATATTTCAAGATTAAAACTTAGAAGATGATGGATAGATAGTGTTTAACCCCCTGCTAATTTCTTATTCAACACTCTTCCTGTTGATCTGGGGGGGAAATTTAACCTTGGTAATGAACCCTGGATATCTAGGGGTATCTAGGGTTAGAGTGCAGAATCATGCAAAATCATGCAGGATCATGTAGAATCATGCACAGTACAATGCATACCATTCAAATCCAATTTACATAAAGTCCCTGGACTAAAGGGCAAAGAGAGGGTCTAATTCAATAATGATTTTTTTTTAAAGTTATGTTTCTCGTTCAGGCACCTGGAACCAGATTTAATATAACGTAGGCTAAGAGAAAGATGACTGGTTCAACTACGTCTGTTTAGTTCAACCATTGTTTGCTATTCAATAAATCTGCGGCAAAATATTAGAAAACATTTAAAGTCTTTTTGCGCCAACTAAAAGTTGAAGGAAACAATCCACTATTGAATAAAAAATAAATAATAAATGAATAAAAAAAGTTTGAAGAGGGGTGGGGGGCAGGGGAGATCTTAAAATTAATTTTGGTCTTACTGAATTTTGTTTGAGTTTGACATAAGACAAATATCTCTAAGTCAGGAAATGTAAAGCCATCAAAGCAGTTTACAATATTTACATGTATCTAGTAAGCTTTAAGATACCCTCATGTATATTTAATATTAGTGAATCAAAAGTTAAATGTTAAAAGTGTAAAAAAAAATAAGGACAGACGAGTAATTAATTTTACATATCCTGTTTTTAAATCAGATGTTAGTTTATGAAGGACCTTATTACTCACCAAAAAATGTAATTTTCTAATCCTTATATCTTTGTACCCTGTTAAAGTTTCTGTGAAGCTAAAATTTAAAATAGAACTGAGAGTGGAGCGTTGAATAGGACTTTCAAAATAAGATATTCTAAACCACGTAAATTTCACGTTTGATTGGAATCTGACATATCTCCTCTGAATAGAGAGTCATTGAGAAGAATAAAAATATTTGTAAATGAATTTGTTTTTCTCATACTTGGAGGTAATATTGAAATTGGGGAAGCTACGAGGTGACAAAGTACTACCAGTAAGGTCGCATAAATTTGACCTTCTTTCTTTTTAATAAACTAATATTATTCTTCCTTTGCACAGTTCTCATCATCAAATTCAAATTTCTCGGAGAAAACTATTTGTCTCTATATATAGTTTTTAAATATATTCCGCATCTTAAATATAGTTTTAAAATATGTTCCGCATCTTAAATTTGCATTTTTATTCAATTTCTCCCGAACAATAAAACAAAGTCTGGAAGAAAATTCATTTTAAAATTGCATGAACTGTTTTCATAAATTATCTAAGGAATGGATTATTGGGCTAAACATTTTTAATATTCTGTTCCTCATTCTCTAAATTAGGTTTAATTTTTTATCCCTTTGATAATGTTTAATATTCAAATATATAAACAATCCCTTTAATGATATTTAATATTCAAATAATATAATTAAGTTAGATGATTATAAGTTTTGAAATCTGACTATAATATTAAACCTATCCGTATAAACCATGTAACAACATCATTAAATATCTTGAAGGTTAAGATTCAAGCGCGAAACATAGTAAGGGTGCAAAAGTGTCAACAGAATCCAATTGCACCATATATGTGGTAAAGGGTGTGAAATTGATACAAAAAAATGTCATATTGTGTATCTACAAAACATAAGAAGCCTATGAAAATTGTGTGATCAAAATAATATAAAGAAGTTATAGAAATGCATAAAAAAGATATAAATACAGTTTAACCCTAAATAAGCCATACATCGAAAGAATTCATCAAATGTCGTATTCTTCACTTTGTGATAATGGAATGTTGCAGATATTTAGTTTTTCAATTTAATGATTCTAGGGAGCTCTTTAAGACTATTCCCGCATATTCATGGCTATTTATTTATTTTCGGAAATACTAGGATTTACGTAAAATAGTATAAACCCCATTGAAAAATTGTCCAGACGACATTTGATAAATTCTTTCGATGTATGGCTCATTTAGGGTTTAACTATACATAAAAAGAAAATTTCTTAAAAATATGTAAGAATGTTATTAGTGTGTAAAATGTTTTGATTTCTTTAAAAATTCACAACATTTTTAAAATGCTTAGAAGATTAACAGAGTGTCCTATATCATATTGGATTATCTCCAGATTTAACGTTGAATTTCGCACATAATACTTAAAAACTCTGAATGCAAATTTTTATATTAAAATTTTACTAAAAATAATTCATTCTTTTTAAATTTTCTGATTAATCCTGAAAATCGCAATTTAAAGCCATAAACGATCCGATAATGTGGTAAACCCTGTATAAAAATGTAAAAAAATGTATAAAAATAAAAATGTTTAGGGCATTACCTGATGGTTTCTCCATCTCTGCCTGCAGTATATATTCTTTACCATAAGTTGCTTCAGTTATCTTCCTTCCCTCCCTACAACAAAATATCATATTATTAAATTATTCAAGATTCAATTAAACACCAGATTCCAATAAAATTCCGAAGGAATTGAATTTTTGCCTCAAACTCAATTTTGCGAATCCCTATATCTTAGCAACCTGATGGTGTAAACCTTTGATATGTCAAACTTAGATTATTTGATCTAACAGAGTTCATAGTTTGAAATATCCAAGCTCTACGAAATTGAGTTGTATATATGTAGGGATTAAATTGTGTCTAAGAATCCTTCCCCTTCCAATCTTCCCCTCTCAACTTTCTCCTTCCAACCTTCCCCTCACAACCTTCCTCTCCCAGCCTTCCCCGTTCCCCTATTTACTACAAGCACGTGCTAAAAACGACAATATTGCACGCGCAGAACCTCCGTAATATTGAGTAAAATATGTGGTGTCAGACAGGAAAGGAAAATTATATATTTTGTAGGATTTACTGTTCTTATCGTTCTAATGTTCCTAACTGCATTGTTTGGACCAAAGAGTAACAAAATTAACAGAGAACTCAGTATTACTAAACAGCTAATACTAAACTGGCTGGGAGGCTTTGGGCATGACGATCTTCCTAATAATCTGTGAAAATTGGGTAACTTTGATATTTGCAATTTCATTGAACACAAATCAAAATATATACTGATACATATACACGTACATTTAGATTTAACTGAACACAAAGAGAAAAACTCATGGCAAGTATAACTGCGTGCTCTATAAAATTTCATACTCTCTGGTTGGCAGAGATTTTTGAACAATTGGCAGCAATCTTCACTCATTACATTTTAGACTTTTTCATCTTTCACGTGTTATATTCTTGCAACCTTTCACGTTCCACTTCACGTTCCACTTTACGTTCCATATCTTTCTCTTACCTTCATTTTTCTTCTCATTTCCACGTTTTTATTTTAGATTAAAGTATTAATTCCTTTTCTTTGCTTTGTTCATATATGATGTTTTTTGATCCTTTAAACATATTTTCTATTTTTTCAATTCTTTTCTAACTCTAAAAATGTAATGATTTGTTTACAGCTGTATATGGGTAACCTGAAAAGTAACATTAAGTTTTTTTGAGACATCAGAGATTAATATCTGTTCCAGGCTCTTACAAATATTTAAAATTATTTTCTTTTTGGGGATTGCAATAAACGGAGGGGAGGCGGAAAGGGGCACAAATTCACAAATTATAATTTTAAACTAATTGTTCATTGTCCGGGTTTTTCTAGTTATTATGTTTTTTTTTCTACTTTAAAGATATGACAAGTAATAAAGAAAAAATTGCTTAATACCACTGTGGAATAGAACATTGCAACCTAGCATTGTAAAATCTGTCTCGAATAAAATATTTCTTGTCTGGATTTAGTTTTTGCCTATAGAACTTTGGTGACAGCATTAAGAATTAATTTTGTAGATCTTAACATGTAGATTTTTGTTAAATGAACTGATTACTCTCAGGAGACTCAATTTTTCTAATCCCTTTATCTTTGAAACCTATAATAATTGTTTTAACTTTTGATGATTTGATAACTTTGCCTATCATAGCAGAATTCATAAATAATTTGAAAAAGCAGATTGCACAGATTTAAGAATCAGTAAGATAGAATTTGTGGAGAGCAATCAGCAATAATTTCAATTAAGTTCAACTGTAAATTTATTTCTAGGTCAAAATCTGGAAAAAAAATTAGCTGTGAGAGTCACCTGGTGAGTAGAAGACGAACTGATGAGGTTAGGTTTGTATCAGTATTCTTAAACCCAGATCTACCACAGGTAATTACATAATAATTATCAGCTGCTAGCTCCAGGGTTCGGTGAGATCTCACAGCTAGAGCTAGAGAACTCTTGTCAGTTCCCTAAACAATTAATAAATTAATTTATTTCATGTGAAATATCTTAAATTGAAAGATTGTAAAACGACGATATCTTCCTCCCTGCTTCTTAGTTCGGTATAGGTTTAAGGGGTACCGTTGTGAATTGTGAATGTTTCTCTTAAAAAAAAGGTTTACTTGAAATCACGACTAAAAAATGGAATATTATTTCCTCAAAAAAAAACTTAATTTTTCATATTTCCGACTGTGCCAACATTATTTTGCATTTGTCTGATTAAAATTCAATATTTGATTTTCAACGTGAATTCTGCCAATAATTACTGAATTGTACAATTTTTTACAAAACAAGTCTAGAATTTGCAAATTCTCTGCAAATTTTTGTTCCTCTCGGATTGATGTATATTTGTTAATTAACAATTCATAAACATAAATTATCTGCCTAGCAACTACTAAAAGATCATCCAGTCATATCATCCAATCATTTAACCAGCCTATCATCCAATCATCCAACCATCCACCTATCCAACCAGCCAACCAGCCAACCATCCAATCATCCAATAATAAAACCATCCAACCAGCCAACAATATAACAATCCAATCATCCAATCATCCAACCATCCAACCATCCAACCATCAAATTATCCAACAATTGAAACATCTATCAAACTACTCTCTCCAGTACCCCCTCCCTCTGAACCGAAATTACTACTCCCTCACATCTTATCAATGTCTAAAGTTAGATAAAGTTATTAAAACTTTGTTTTATTTTCTGTTAAACTTGTTTTACCGAGAGCTAAATGCAAATGACAAGTTGATAAGACAAAATATAAGATACATTTAAGAAAAAGGGGGGGGGGGAAGTTAAACTGTCTTTTTAAATCAGCATGAAATATTTATGAAGAGGTCCTGTTTAGGTCTTGTTCAGGTCCGGTTTAGGTCCAGTTTAGGTCCGGATTTAGGTCCAGTTTAGGTCCGGATTTAGGTCCGGTTTAGGTTCGTTTTAGGACCGGTTTAGGTCCAGTTTAGGTCCGGTTTAGGTCCGGTTTTGGCTGGTGGAAATACAGTGTAGGGACGGAAATATAGCCTTGTATATTAGAACATACAAATCAGATAGAATTATTTTCTGAGAGCTGAACATTCAAACTTTGTTATTAAACAAACAAAGATGACCTTTAAGTCGTCTTTCGATTATCTTGTTTATTGGTCCATACTGTTAACTTTAGGTTTTCTGTATTTCTTTTTAAACAATGGATTTTTTAAAATGAATTCGGTCGCTCCACAAAGTTTACAGAAACATGAAACCACGACATGTAATTTTATTTTCTAAATCTCGGTCTCAAAAGTTTAAACTTTGCCTTCGAACTTGTCAAACTTTCAAAGTTAGACATTTTTACATTTTATTATTAGAATCCTAATATGGTCCAACCTCATTTTCCAGCTCAGTTTTAAAATAAATTTAAAAACAAAAGCTTTTTTTGCAGCTTAAAATTTTTTATTTTCCATGGAGTTTTAAATAAAATGGAAAATAAATTTAAAAACTTACATTATCATGAACAACTCCACAAAATGCAGGATGGTCACGTGGTGTGAGAAGATTGATTGTTAGAAATGTCGTCGTTTCTCCAGTACCATATGTTAAACAAGCATTATCTCTAGAATCCCGAGCATGGATTACACCGTGGAACTCAGAGCTAGTCCTTAACCGAACCTAAACAAAATATTAAATCAAGAATCTTTCATTAAAAGATTTGCAATTATGTTTTAAAGCATTTAAATCTATACGATTTTGATTTAGACGACCATATCAAAAGTTTTTCATTATTGAGTGCTCAAATAAGTTTTTTCTACAGGGTTAACCACAAAGAATGAAAGAATAAAAGATATTCTCTCTTCTGTAGATAAATAATATTAAATCTTTGCATAAATGATATTCTCTACTCTGTACATAAATGATATTCTCTACTCTGTACATAAATAATATTCTCTACTCTGTACATAAATAATATTCTCTACTCTGTACATAAATAATATTCTCTACTCTGTACATAAATGGTATTCTCTACTCTGTACATAAATGATATTCTCTACTCTGTACATAAATGATATTCTCTACTCTGTACAGTGTACATAAATGATATTTTCTACTCTATACATAAATAATATTCTCTAGTTCTACTCTGTACATAAATAATATTCTCTACACTGTACATAAATGGTATTATCTACTCTGTACATAAATGATATTCTCTACTCTGTACATAAATGATATTCTCTACTCTGTACATAAATGGTTTCTTACATCGGAAAACGTCATATTTAAAGAATTTTTGATCGTCACTAAAAATATTTCTTTGTGGATAGCCTTGTAAAAATGAAGAAACGAATAATCTTGGTTAAAAAACTACTTTTGCAACAACATTCTAATCCCCCCCCCCCGCCCCCACTCTCCCATTAATGTCAAATTTAACCAGACTGAATGTCTTGGTTTTTAACGCGAAATTTTCCGCCCTTCTTTCACGCATTTTATGTTGAAGCAAGCAAATGGGATGAGTTTGCAAAAATTTAACCCGTTAAAAGCGTGTAGAAAACTACGGATTTGCGCTCTAGTAGCGCACAACTTGGGGATTTATCGCATGGCAAATATTTTAAAATTGCTAACTTTTTTCCTCCAAAAATCGGGAATGTTGTGCCGTGATTCTTGAAATTTAATAGTTTAAAAGAACGAAATGAATATTTGTTTTGTATCTTTGTATACATACCACTGCAAAAGTATGTTTTTTTTAAAATCAGTCTCACTGAGATAAAGTATCTGTATATATATATACACCATGAGATAATGTATCCGTATATCTATATACACCCTGAGATAAAGTATCTGTATATCTATATACGCCCTGAGATAAAATACCTGTACATCAATATACACCCTGAGATAAAGTTTCTGTATATCTATATACACCCTGAGATAAAGTTTCTGTATATCTATATACACCCGGAGATAAAGAATCTTTATCTATATACACCCGGAGATAAAGTTTCTATATATCTATATACACCCTGAGATAAAGTTTCTGTATATCTATATACACCCTGAGATAAAGTATCTGTATCTATATACACCCGGAGATAAAGTTTCTGTATATCTATCTACACCCTGAGATAAAGTTTCTGTATATCTATCTTTATACACCCTGAGATAAAGTATCTGTATATCTAAATACACCCTGAGATAAAGTTTCTGTATATCTATACACACCCTGAGATAAAGTTTCTGTATATCTATATACACCCTGAGATAAAGTGTCTGTATATCTATGTACATTATACACCCTGAGATAAAGTTTCTGTATATCTATGTACAGTATACACCCTGAGATAAAGTATCTGTATATCTATAATGTGCATTATACATCCAGAGATAAAGTGTCTGTATATCTATGTACATTATACACCCTGAGATAAAGTTTCTGTATATCTATGTACATTATACATCCTGAGATAAAGTGTCTGTATATCTATGCACATTATACACCCTGAGATAAAGTTTCTGTATATCTCCTGAGATAAAGTGTCTGTATATCTATGTACATTATACACCCTGAGATAAAGTTTCTGTTTATCTATGTACACTCTGAGAATCCCTACCCGCATGAATCCTTGACTACAGGTTGCTGTCACACTCGGAGAAAGATCATCTCCGACCAGAGGTTCTCCGCTCACCTAAATTTAACATTCTTATAAAGATCAAGAATAACAAGTGTTGCATATACTTGTGCATTTATAATAGTTCTAATTATAATCTTTAATAATTTTGTATTTGTATAGAAATTATAAAAGCAAGTTAAAGATTTTAAATTCGAAAGTTTTAGGGTGCTTCGCGGCTCTTGTTTAGAAACAATTTTAGCTTTTTTAGTCGGAATTTTTCATAATAATCTGCAATTATCAAAAGCTTCGCAGATTTTTTTAATTGATGGATTAAAAAAACGACGACATGTCGAAAATTTAAAATGACGACATGTCGAAAATGTAAAATGACGACATGTCGTAAATGTATAATGACGACATGTCGAAAATGTAAAATGACGACATGTCGAAAATATGTCAAAAATGTAAAATGACGACATGTCGAAAATTTAAAATGACGACATGTCGAAAATGTAAAATGACGACATGTCGAAAATGTAAAATGACGACATGTCGAAAATGTAAAATGACGACATGTCGAAAATTAAAATGACGACATGTCGAAAATGTAAAATGACGACATGTCGAAAATGTAAAATGACGACATGTCGAAAATGTAAAATGACGACATGTCGAAAATGTTTTCAAATTTGACCGTGCATAAACCTTCCCTGGGATCATGTTAGTTGCCACCAAAAAATTGGGCCGTTTTGACGTTTACTGGAATACAAAATATATATTAATTCATGAGGGGACTAAATTCAATTCTTGAAAAATGCCGGTGATATTTTCTACTCAGTGAATGTTTGCACCCTGATAAATGAAGTGGAACCCTGTCTTGTATAATTATATCCGTCCTGCCACGGGGTTCTCTCCGGGTATTACTGTCAACCTGTCAGGAGAAAAGAAAACCAATGGATATCTATTCTTTCTGTTCCACAACAATAGTTTTATATTCTACTCAACCTTTTTATAGATTAGAAACCAAATATGATTTCCACTCCAAGCAAACTGATTTTAAAAAGTTTGTTTATTTTGTTATTGTCTAATGTACTGCAGATTATGAGCAAACCCAAATTACAAAGCAACTAAGTTTTTGCCACAACCTCTTGATTTGAAATCCTTCTTTCTTTTTAACCCTATTTAGTAGACCTTTTATACTTCAAAATAAGAATTCTGTCATGTCAGATAGTCTTGGTTTGAAAAAATCAAAGGTTTACACCATGCAGGTTGCAAAGATTTAGGAAATAGAAAATTTGAGTTTCTGGAAAAACATCCCACTCTGAAAGCAATGAACCTCTCCTTCTCTCCCCCCCCCCTCTCTCTAATCCATCTTTCTCTCGATCTGTTTCTAAACAACTAGGTTGATCTCTAAACTCCATGTTTGAAGATGTCTCTATTGTGAATACATTGATGATTGATGAGTTCAAGGACAAACCATAGAAAACTCTCATATGCAGACTGCTCACTTCAAACCATAGAAAAATCTCATATGCAAACTGCTAACTTCAAACCATAGAAAACTCTCATATGCAGACTACTCACTTCAAAACATAGAAAACTCTCATATGCAGACTGCTCACTTCTAACCATAGAAAACATATGCAGACTGCTCACTTCAAACCATAGAAAACTCTCATATGCAGACTGCTCACATCAAACCATAGAAAACTCTCATATGCAGACTGCTCACTTCAAACCATAGAAAAATCTCATATGCAAACTGCTAACTTCAAACCATAGAAAACTCTCATATGCAGACTACTCACTTCAAACCATAGAAAACTCTCATATGCAGACTGCTCACTTCAAACCATAGGAAACTTTTATATGCAGACTGCTCACTTCAAACCATAGAAAACTCTCATATGCAGACTGCTCACATCAAACCATAGAAAACTCTCATATGCAGACTGCTCACTTCAAACCTTACAGAAAGAGAAGGTAAAATTTCATGCGAAATTACTGGTACGACTTTTTGACATACTAGCTTCTCTAGTTTTGATTTTACGCACAAGGATGAGAAAAGAGAACTTTTAAGAAATTAAAAACATTTTTGTTCTTATCAAAAGCTTTTGAAAATTATGATTAAAATCATTTAAGATTTCAATCTTTCGTACAGTTCACTTTACTTTGACGTAACATTTTGTTAATGATTTCGATTATAATGTTCATAATTTTGAACATAATGTTCATAATTTCGAACATAATGTTCATAATTTCAAACAAAATGTTCATAATTTCAAACAAAATGTTCATAATTTCGAACAAAATGTTCATAATTTAGAACATAATGTTCATATTTTTGAACAAAGTATTCATAGTTTACAACAAAATGTTTATTATTTCGAACAAAATGTTCATAATTTCGAACATAATGCTCATAATCTTAACCAAAATGTTCATAATTTTAAACAAAATGTTCATAATTTCGAACAAAATGTTCGTACTTTCGAAATTATTTCCTGTTGTCCGATATGATAAAAAATGAAGTGCAACAATAAAGTTGTTCTAAATATTTGTAGTTTCAAAGTTTGTTTGACTTCTGAACTATCAAGATTACGATTTGTAACGTCTATATTAAGGAAATATTTCTTAGGGTTATCTTAAAAAATTTTCAATCAAAATATGCAGACAACGTTTAAAAAATATGAGGATAATGAGAAATGGTTTGACGAATATCCCCACGTACAAACTCTGATTTTCTAATTCCTATATCTCTGCAACCCATTGTCGTAGACCTTAGATATTTCAAACTATAAATTCTGTTGCATCAAATTATCTTAGTTTGAAATATCAAAAGTCTACAACATCAAGTTCCATAGATATAGGGATTAGAAAATTTTAATTTGTGACAAAGACTCAATTCCTTTACTGGCTATATTTTATCTAAACTCTTATAGTTATTTAGTTAGCTTTTCTTATCTGAGTTCAAAAGTGTTAATTAAAGAAAATTGCTCTTAGTCCTTCATGCTTGCATACATTTGCTAACAAAATTAATTTGGATTGCATCATTTACATAAAGAGTTTATGTTTAATGCAATCTACATTTTATTTTAAATATAGTCCTTGTTAGTCGTGCATTGATTAACAATGCATTGATTAACAATGCAATTTTATACAAATAAATATACCAGTAAAAAGTATGGGGGGGGGGTAAGAAAGTCTAAAGGGTGAGAAGGAAAGAAGTATTAACAGAGGAGGGGAGTGGGGTACTAATGGAGTAGGAGGGAGTCATGAGCTAGTCTAGAAGGGAGGGGGGAGGAGGATATCAGCACGAGAAGACAATTAGTTCAAGGCTTTTAAGATTATCAATAAATTATGAAACTGTCTTTTTGTATCTTTTCGCTTATAAATAATATTACATTTCTTTAATAAACAGTTACGAAGCGCTCTAAAATTGTCATATATTCTAGAAATGAGATTACCAAGTAGAAGGATGAATTATATAAAAATTAATCTGTCACTGAATCCCTCTTATCAACCATATTAAATCTTTTATAACATTTTCATAGACGGAAATAATATCAAAGCAGGTTAATAAAATGCTTCTAATAAACCAATAAATGTATAAATTCTAAAAATACAATTATTAAAATCTGAAAAAAACTTCCTATATCCCACGCTGTCCTGTCCCATATTGTTCGTGGATAATATAATGATGATATTCAATTAAATATATCTTCTTTATAACAATTGGATAAGATTGAATTGGTTCTCATAATCCAAATATTTCTGTTTAAAATACTACTTGCTGGCTAAAAGAAAGAACACTTTGCGTTTTGAATGAGCAGAGAATTCTTGAAGGGATGAATTTGGTTAAACTAATAATGATCTAATAACTGAAACAATTATTGATATTTTTTGCAATGATTAATATTAATTTTATTATGCATTTATGTATAACTAGCTGAATGTCCCGGCGTTGCCAGGGATACTCATAATTTCTTGCACTGTTTACCCTGTTTGTCTTAATTCATGATTTTTAGCAGTGCCCAGGGTTGCGCACCCTTGGATTAAAAAAATCCATCATTTTTTTAGCTTATGTCACCTACTAGGGTACCCATGGGTTTCCTAAAAAAACAAATCAGTTAATTTGGTCCAGCAGCTCCAGCTTTAGCGAACATATAAATGAGGAAAGAGCTTTATTTTATAGCTTTACTTTCATATAGAAAACTTGAAATAAACTATTGGCAGAATATAAAATATTTTCACCAGGAGCGAGAGCCAAGTTTCTTTATATTTAAATATAAATGTGAACTCTATTCTAAATCTATTTCAGAGAGAAAGAGAGAGATAGGTAGAACTATAAATAAGTTTAAAGTCCTAACAATGGGGTGAGAAGAATTAATACACCATAAAATGTTTTTATAAAACAAAACAAACTTATATTTAATTAACAAATCTTTCGATAGGACATAAAATTAATCAGTTCTATCTATAGTGTTTATTTAATAACTTCAATTTTAAAGGGAGTGTCCGCGAAAAATGAAAGGGGGCTTAATGCGATAAAAAAGCGCTTTTGATCGCTACTAATCTTACTTCTATCTGTTGCGTCT